TTGCCATAAGTTCAAATGTGGCTGCTAAATCTTATTTTATAATTGCATTTAAAAATTTATTAATGAATAATATTATATAAATCTTCATTAACCTCATTATCATAATGGGTTCAAATAAGATCTCAGTGGTTTCAACATTTATATATTCTTGATTGATAGAATATCATTCAACAAGCCCATGTGAATTATCACATGCTTGCTTCAATGCAAATAAAAGCATACGTGCATTCATCAGGGGCTCTTTGGTTAAGCAAAAATTTGGCATTTGGTGTGGACTACAAGTTTTGAAATCAAAAAGTGAGTTTTGTATAATTTGGGATTCTACATTTGACTTTTGTCTCAAGAAAATTTTTAGAATGCTTAATCCCAAAAATGCAAAAAGTATCTAATTTTTAGAATTCGTCAATCCTTTTAATTGTAGAGAATTTGGAAAATCTCATAAAGGTGTATTGTTATACCCCTAAAAAATATTGAATATTAATCTCCATAGAGCAATTGACGGGTATCTTACACTATATCTAATACGACTAATTCAAGACGAAGATAATCTCTGCCTCAGCTCGGCCCACTGTTCAGCTGATATCTCGCGTAACCAAGACAAAATGTGGTACTACTTGGCCAACCCTTCAATTAATTCCACAAGCGACCCGACTCGACCCACTGTTTAGCCGACATCTTGCTAACCGAGTCAAAAGGTGGGGCTTGTCGTACAACCCGGCCAATCGCCCCAACGAATCACCCACACTCGGGCCATTGTATCAGCCGTCAATGTGTATGGTCGGCCATCAGCTGGACGGCTAAAAGAGTTGGTAGTTTTCTAGAACCCCGGGCCGACAGCCACCTGCCCTTGCATTAACAGTTCTAACAAAGTCATTATTGATCTAGTCCACAAAGTCTTATGACTTATCAGGCTACCATCAACACCAAGTAGCAGATGTCGCTTAACACTGACCACCTGGATGGCCCATTTTCGCCATCGCCCAACACCTGTTAGCTATCTGCTGACTCAGCTACCTAGTTGGACCCAGCGCAAGTTGCCTTCTTTCCCGTCTGATCCACTATAAAAAGTAGAGGAACTGCATGAGGTAAGTTTCTCTGGTCTTTTTTACACAACTAAGAGCTAACCCTATATTTCCCCACTCAAGATAATCTACTAACTTGATCGGTTGAAAACAACCGTCAACCGAAGAACTCAACTCCGTCCTTTTACGAGTTCTTTCTTGTGCAGGGAAGAGAAGTAAACCCCAGAGCCATACATCAGAAGCAGTTAGAGGACTTTAATCACTCAACAAACTTGCAAATTATCCTCTATTTGATAACTGACATCAACAGGTATGCTTACGTCTCTTTTTATACCATTGTATTTTTTTAGGAGGTAACCTCACCAAGGTAAGTATATTCATCTTTTTTTCTTTTTAAGAATATGTTATCTTATAATTTAGGTTTGAACCAAACAAGATATTACAAATTTTAGGATTTGTTTTCCTATAGTAATGTTGAACCAAGCTAAATATCAGAAATCTCAAAGCATGTATAAAACAGCCCCCAAGAGGAGTGATGTTAACAAAAGAGGAGCTTTGTCCCATAAATCATATAGATACACAACTAGTCAAAAGAGGTCCCATTAATGAGCAAGAGAGATTTAAAGGTTAAGATAGAAATGGTCAAATAGAAAATACACTAGTTATTGAAGGTTGCATAGGATCTGACACTAGTAGATTCATAAGCTGATTTATTTTATTTTATTTATTTATTTTTCTGATAATCCAATTTGAAATTAAAATTAAAATCGTGAGAGTCATATTGAAAACTTTTAACCGTCTAGATCATCATACGCTGGAAATTTTATAAAATATAAATAAAGACACTACAATAATGTAATATTCCTGATTAGGCCTAATTGAATATTGATGACAATAATAGTACGCGGATAATTCGATTCTAACGGCAAATTGGTGTACACAGATAATCCAATTCCAAGAACAAGCTGCATTAAGCTTGAAGTAAGTATTTGTAATTTTCACAAATCCTCTAGAAACTTTGGGAAATTTTACTAAAAAACCTCTGTATTTTGGGAATTTATCGTTTAGGGAGTTAAGAGGTAATTAAGATGATGATATGTCTAAAATACTCTTTTTAGAAAAAATAGGGGATGGAAAATAAGCCTATTGACGAATATTTTTTGCTGACTAGAGATAAAAATATCCATTTTTTATCACATGAGGAGCATGTTACATGTTAAACTTAATGGTGCCGATCATGCCGTCATTATAGGAAGTGAGGAAATGTTAGGGGGTTTTATGTAATTTACAACGTTCAGAAGGGTTTAGTGCAACACATGCAACGTGATGTTCATGGGAGTTTTCTAAAAATTAAAAAAAAAAGGGAATTAGAAGAAGAAGAGGAAGAGGATGAAAATATATTCCCATGTGTTAACTGTTCATATCAGTATTAATTTACCTTGAAATATGATAGATGTTGTTCAAATTAGCAGTAGTAATGTGTCAGTTTGCAGTGAACAAAGTTTTCTTACGTCGCGTGAGGGAGAAATTCATAGCATGATTTATATTGTTTTTATATATCATTGAAGTTATTCATAATTAAAACAACAAACTGGGACAATTGAAGATTGTGTTAGTAGCTTCTTATTAAATCATAGGGTAAATTACGTATAAATGCCCTACTGTTTATGCAATGTTGTACATAAATACCCTCATGAATGACCTGTAAATGACTAAAAATTTTAATGACCTGTAAATGACTAAATTTTTTCTAAAAGTTACAGTTTAGTATCCTGATTATGCAAATATGAGATTTCCCCCCTCAAATATTCTCAGGTGACACTCGCCTAATAATTTTCTTCCCATGCACGAAGAAATTCATAGCATGATTCATATTATTTTTATGTCATGTGAAAATATACCCATAATTAAACCATCTAATTGGGAAGGCGAAAAAAAGGAAAAGAACACAATTGAAGATTGTTTTATTAGTGTCTAAATAAATTCATATAACTTTCAATTTAAAAAAATATTATTATTCCCAACACTAGAAGCCCCTAAAATAGCCCAATATAAAAAGGAAAAATTGTGTCAAGACCTTGATTTTAAAATATGTAAATTTCATGTTAAGTCTAAGTCTTTATCTGTGAAGTTTGAGTCATTTCTTGTGAAGTTGAGGGAATTTCATATAAAGTTTATGTCATTTCATGTTAAATCTAAGTTATGTTCTGTGAAGTTCAAGCAATTGTGCGTTAAATCTAAGATATTTTGTGTTAAGTCTAAATCAGTTCGTGTTAAGTCTAAGTCATTTCATGTTAAGTCTAAGTCATTTTCTGTGAACTTCAAGCAATTTTGTGTTAAGTCTAAGTCATTCGTATTAAGTCTAAGTCATTTTCTGTGAAGTTCGCGCAATTGTGTATTAAGTCTAAGTCATTTCATGTGAATTTTAAAGCATTTTCTATAAAGTTTAAGTCATTTTGTATTAAGCCTAAGTCATTTACATATCGATAACAAGAAATGACTTAGAATTAACACAAAATGACTTAAACTTTATAGAAAATGCTTTAAAACTCAGAGTAAATGACTTAGACTTACCATGAAATGACCTAATATGAAATGACTTAAACTTCACAAAAAAATGACTTAAACTTAACATAAAATAACTTAGATTTAACACGAGATGACTTAGACTTAACACACAATTGCTTGAACTTTATAGAAAATCACTTAGACTTAACACACAATTACTCGAACTTCACAGAAAATAACTAAGACTTAATACGAAATGACTTAGACTTAACACACAATTGCTTGAACTTAACACGAGATGACTTAACTTCACAGATAAAGACTTAAACTTAACACAAAATTTGCACATTTTAAAACCAAAACTACCTCGCGGTGTGGTCTAATTACTCAAGATATTCTTCAATTAACTCAAAGAAAGCCAAAAATCTCCTTTTGAACATAAAACTAAAGTAACAATGTTCATTACTTAAAACCAGTTATGGAACTAATATATACTTATTTAAAAGAGTAACACATATAAAATCTTAATCTTGTATGCAATACATCAAATATTTGCTGGACATCAAAGACAATACTCAAATCAAGATCCATACATGATCTAGGGCACCCTATGGCCTACTTCCCTATCAAAATTGCTAATCTAAAAGCATCCAGTTTCATTACAGACATCCTGGACTTTGAAGTGAAAGCTGTAGAGATGAGTTGAGAGCAATCTCTAGAGAATATATCTCACAACAGATTATTGAGTTGAGGAAAGAACAGTCTCTTCTTGGCAGTGATCACAGAGTAGGATATCTTCTCATAGACATTGGAGGCAACGCTCGAGGTTGGTGGTGGCATAGGGGGAGGTGGAAGAAGGAGACAATAGGGCCGAAGCGTACACCCAAGGTCGGTGGTGACGGAGAGGGAGGCAGGAGAGGGAGATGGTGCGGTCAAAGGGTGCACTCGAGGTCGGTTGTGGTAAAGAGCGACGCAAGAGAGGGGGAAGTTAGTGTCGGAGGAAAAAAAGGAGGAAGAGGAGAAAGAGGAAAATTAGGGTTGGGAGAGAGGAGGAGAGAAGAGAAGGAAGGAGCAGCTATGAAGATTGAGATGAGGAGAGAAGAGAGAGGATGAAATAAGACATTTTTAGATTTATATATTTTTTGAGAGGATGAAATAAGACATTTTTAGATTTATATTTTTTTTCTCTCTGTACTTAGTTGGCAAGGAATAATGGCCGAGTCACACTTTATTTGGGTTCTGAGGGCTTTACACATGAAAGAAAAATTAAATGAGCTACTCGCATGGGCTGATGAAAATTGGGGCATTGAGACAATTTTCCAATATAAAAAACACAAAAAGAAAATATATATTAACCAGGGCAGTATCGTAAATCCGCTCGCCGACTTCAAAGTTTGATCAATTCCTTTCTTCGGTGTAACCAGCGAACCCCATTCTCGTAATTTCCCCGCTTTCGACACGCCTTTATAAACGCCTTCTGCTTTTCGAACGAGAACGGGGAATTCTCTCTCTCTGCTCTGTCTCCGCCTCTCTCCTCTTTTTACGCGCGAGTGTAAGAGAATCAGCGTTTAGAGAGAGAGAAAGCGGGGTTTTAGGGTTTCGATCGATTCGATCCTTCTCCATTTCGATTCCAGAGGTACAAATTCCTTCTTTTATGCTGAAATGTTGCTTCGATCTGAGCTTTTGTTTTCCCGATGGATCTGGTTCTGATTAGGGCGGATCGGCTCTTGATCTCTTTATTTGTTGTGATTCTGGTGGATATTAAGGAAATATAGTTGTTGATGGATTTTTCTTGAATATCCTGTGATTTTTTTTTTGTTTAGTTAATGATTGGTGTTATAATTTGTTAATTAGGCAAATTGTATAAGCAGAACTAATTACATAGTTAGTTAAACACTGGTGACCTAATTTTTGTAGATATACCTTTGATATATGTTAAATTGCTAAATAAACTTATTAATAGTTAACAGTATACACATAATTTTAGCAAAGTTTCCATTTTTAGGAAATTGTTGGTGTGAATCGTTGTTTATTGTTATTGTTTCACTCCACTTCTGCTTGTATTTTGGTTCAGGAATTTCTTGTGTCCATTATTGGCTTTGGTAAGAAGTAAGGTCGACTGAGAAGGGACTAACTTGGGCAGACTTGATGGATTTGGAATCTAGATTTTTTGACATAGTGAATCAGTTTGATTACTTTAGCCCGAAAATTCTCGGATGGCTTGTGACTGGAACATTTGGTTTGTTTGCCATTATCTATACGTTCCTTAGACTGCAGAGGGAGGCATCGTTGAATTGGGTCAAAGCTGCTGCGAGAGAAAAGAGGAAAGTGTGGAAGAAATTAAAATGTCCCATCTCTAATCATTCTTGGATTGAGGATAATGTTTGCAGTGGGCAGTCTTCAACTTGTTGTGTATGCTTATCATCTTTGGTATCTCCACAAGCTGGAGGCACAAAAGGAAGCTGCAGCGTTCGTCTTCACAGGTGTTCAGTTTGTGGTGTGGCGGCTCATGTCTACTGTTCACAATATGCAACGAAGGATTGTAAGTGTGTAGCTCAGGCGGGTTCAACTGAATTGTTGCATCATTGGTCAGAGAGATGGGTTGAGTTGGATGAGAACCCTGAGACATCTTCCTTTTGCCATTACTGTGATGAAATGTGTGGTATAGCTTTTATTGGTGCCTCTCCTACTCCTGTATGGCGATGCTTGTGGTGTCAGCGACATATACATGTAGATTGCCATGCCAAATTATTAAAAGAGACTGGTAATGTTTGTGACCTTGGGCAACTTAGAAGGCTTATTCTGTCCCCTCTCTCGGTGAAAGAAGTAAATGAAAGAGGTGCAACTGGGGGTGTGTTGAATTCTATTAAGGAAGGGATCATTGCTTCGTCAGTGAGGAGTCGTATGAGAAAACGGCGTAACCGTAATAAATCCGGAAGCAACCAAACTTCACTACCTAACGGTAAATTGCAGAATGGTTCAGATAACAACTCGACAATTCAATCTGTGCTTAAGGGGCTTGTTTCTCTGGACAAGTCATTCAATGAAAAGAACAGTGGTAATCTTTTGAAGCAAGACAGCGGGCTATCAAGACTTAAATTTGTTGATAATGATGCCAACTGGAAGAATGGAAGCACTATGGCTGCTGCTAACAGAAAGAAATACGAGATAGTTAATATGCCACAAGATGCAAGACCACTCCTAGTTTTCATTAATGCAAGGAGTGGTGCTCAAAGTGGACCTTCTCTTCGGAGACGGATGAATATGTTGTTGAATCCTGCACAGGTGAGTTTGATGGCTTCTTTAAAGGAAAAGAGTGTTGCGTCTCTTTAAATAATTTAAGAAATAATTTACTGTCATTTCTCATTCTATGTCACAAGATGCTAATTCTAGCTAATGCATTAGTTTGTTTTTGATTGGGTATGGAGCATATTTCTATTTGTGACCCAATGCTTTGCCATAATCTCATATCCAATTGTGCTGCTCTTTTCAATGAATGGTCTGTATTTTTGCATAGTGATATGGCGTCTCTTATGATCCCTCTGTGCATTAATTTTGTCAGATGTCATAATTCCACAAAGTGGAAAGAGATTTTTGCTACACAGTGGACAAAACTTTGGTTTTAGTTTCCATGAACATTTTAACTTCTATTTATGTCTTTTACACAAATTTTGATACAGGGAGCACATATTATCCATATTTTTTCTTTAGTTGGAAAGGGTGTATGAATCAACTCAAGTTCCTTAACCTCATAGTAATTTCTTAATATATATATATTTACTGCCTAGGATTCAATCCTTCAAAAGTTATCTGATCTTTAGCATTTATTATCATGTCTTTCTGTTGAAATAATCGAGGCTTTCATTATCATCTACTATTCTTCTGTGCACCTCTGAGTTTCCGACCCTTCCTAAGACCAGGACCTTCGTGCACTGGATTGCGCTTTTCTTACCTCTTAGCTAAATAGCCTAAATTTATGTTGAAGATTTGCTCACCGGTAAGTAGTTTTATTGTGAAATATTTCTTTGGTCACGTACATTTCATGTGAACATGGATGTACATACTTGTTCATGCATGCAATGAGGCTCTATCAGCAAATCTTTTGCAACTGTATTCAACTTAAGTACTTGGGTATCCTGAGGCTTATTGTTGTGTTTCCATTGCAGATTTTTGAAATTGGTGCTTCTCAAGGGCCTGAGATTGGTCTAGAAATGTTCCGTCATGTGCAATACTTTAGGGTTCTAGTATGTGGTGGGGATGGTACTGTGGCATGGGTTCTTGATGCAATTGAACAGGCAAATTTTGAATCTCCCCCACCTGTTGCTATACTTCCTTTGGGAACAGGGAATGACTTGTCCAGAGTGTTGCAATGGGGAGGTGGTTTGTCTTCTGTTGAGGGACAGGGTGGTTTAGGTGGACTTCTGCACGATATTGACCAAGCTGCTGTGACGATGCTAGATCGTTGGACTGTTGATATAGAGGAAAAGAACACAGAGCCTGGTCAAGATAAGAAACAAGTGAAGTTCATGACAAACTATCTTGGTATGTTATGGCTGATGTTGATGCCTTCTATCAGTTCTTTTGTATATTTCTATCCTATTGTGTTTTTAAATATTTTTTTGGTTCGCTTTGCTTAGGTGTTGGATGTGATGCGAAAGTTGCATACGACTTTCATACAATGCGTGAAGAAAGACCTGATAAATTCTGCAGCCAGGTAATGTTTTCCCTAATAGCTGTCATATGAATTGAATCATGTAATTACATCCTCTGGTGATTTATGAATACACGTCATGGTTTTATGCACTAAATGATTAAGTATTGTACGGAGACCAGAAGATTAAACTATACTACCATAGTATTTGGAACAATGTTGAAAACAATGATAGCGTATAATGTAATGCTTGGCTTCTTGATAACTTAAACTTTTAGCGCATATGACATAAGACGTAGCATAGGTCATGTGCTTTTGTTATTTTTAATTTAAAAAGTATAAAAAATATCCATAATAATTTCAATAAACAGGTTCATGATTTCAAAATATAAAAATTTTTAAAAAAAAATCTAAATTTTGTTATAAGTTACGCAAATTTACTTACAAGTACCACAATAAAAATGCTCAGATACATCATCACAATATCTCGCTAACAATTTTACATTCACTTCCTTCATCACAAATCAAAGTTACTTAGTCACAAACATAATGATGTCAGTGAATATCAATCACGACATGAAAGATTGGCAAACAATAAGAAATGGTCATGATTGAGTCCCCGGAGGCAGAAAACATCCACACCCTGCCTAAAGTTTATTTCTCAGAATTCGATTTAGTATTCAAGGAAAATTCTCTCCTTTTCCCCATAGATGTGTGAATATTTGAGTACAACTCATGTTCTGTTATTTATTCCAAAAAATATCATGTACCACCTTCCATTACTCAATTATGCTCGATGCAACTTTTCTTTAGACATTTAAGCAATCATTTACTTCCCATATTCCCAGTGACATTATATTGTTTGATTGTTCATCTATTAGTTTGTCTTCTCTTTCCACCTGTCCTTCAATATTTCCTGTATGAGCATATTGATTTCTTGGCATGGTCAAAGCAATATTTCAAATTTTGGAGTCCTATTGTAAATTTAGGATATTATAACTTTCTTCGTTATATCTGTAAAGTATGCCATCAAAAGAGCCTTTGGCTCTTTCGGTTTTGTCAACCTTCTCATGCCACCGAAAGAGCCTTTGGCTCTTTCTGTTTTGTCAAAGTTCTCATACCACCGAAAAATGAGAAGAGAGAAAAAAAATATAGGCGGGTCCCACCACGGGTCCCACCGCGGGCCGCACCACTAATAAAATATTAGTGCATAGTGTTTTCCTAAACACTATAAATAGACCTCAAACTTTTAAGGAAAATCTCATCCCAGAAACAACTCCTCTTATAAAAGAGTAAGAGAGAGAAAAGAAAGGCTTAGAGAAAAATCATTGTGAGAGAATTGTGAGCAATTTTCAGAGTGAGATTGAGTTGTAAGTTTGAGTGTGAAAAACTTTGAGAGTGGTTTGTAAAATTTCTTCCCTTTAGTGAAAGATCTGCAGCAGCCCGTGGACGTAGCCAAGTTTGTGTCGAACCATGTAAATCTTACGTGTCCCTCTTTTTTGTGCATTTATTTTGCTTTCTCTTAAATCTGGTAATAGGGGAATCTGAGTAATTTTCTAACAACTGGTATCAGAGCTCTGGTTGTGACGTTTGACAATTTTCTACGAGATTACTATTCACGTGAATAGTAAATTTCTTGAATAGTAAAATTTTGTCGGCGGTACCGACTTATCGGCAGATGTGTCTTAATACACGGTGGTTCGCAAAATTGTCAGAAACGATCCAGAGGAAGTCAGATTCGAGTGGGAGCGATGGCTGCAGACGAAGGGAAGGTGAAAATTAAGAAGTTCGATGGTGCGGACTTTGGCTTTTGGATGATACAGATCGAAGATTACCTGTACCAAAATAAACTGTATCAACCTCTCTCAGGAAGTAAGCCAGATGACATGAAGGATGAAGAGTAGGCTCTCCTCGACAGACAAGCCCTTGGAGTTATCCGATTGACGCTATCCCGCAACGTTGCCTTTAACATAGCAAAAGAAAAGACCACGACGGGTCTTATGACAGCTTTCTGTAGCATGTACGAGAAGCCCTCTGTCTCAAACAAAGTTCACTTAATGAGGCGGTTGTTCAATTTGCGAATGACAGAAGGCGCATCGGTAACTCAACATCTCAATGAACTCAACACAGTCACAACCCAGTTGAGTTCAGTTGGGATTGAGTTTGATGAGGAAGTTCGAACGCTGATCCTTTTATCTTCCCTACCAGAAAGCTGGAACGCTACAGTCACAGCTGTGAGTAGCTCATCGGGAAGCAACAAGTTGAAGTTCGATGACGTTCGTGATCTGGTTCTTAGTGAAGAAATTCGGTGGAGAGAATCAGGTGAAGCTTCAACCTCCTCAGCTTTACACACAGAGTCTAGGGGAAGAACTTCAGAAAGAAGTTCAAATCACGGCAGATCAAAATCTAGGAGGAGCAAATCTAGATCAGGAAAGAAAGATTTCAAGTGCTATAATTGTGACAAGAATGGTCATTTCAAGAGGGAGTGCCGGGCACCGAAGAAAAACACCGGCGCACAGGAGTCTGCCAACGTGACCGAGGAAGGAGGTGATACTATGATTCTAAGCGTCAACAGTCCGATTGAATCATGGATTCTTGATTCAGGGGCATCCTTCCACTCCACCTCATGCCGAGAAATCATGGAGAACTACGTCAGCGGTGATTTTGAAAAGGTACATCTAGCAGATGATGAAACCTTGAAGATTGTTGGCAAGGGAGACATCCAATTAAAATTATCAAATCAGACCACATGAAAGCTGCAAGGAGTGAGTCATATTCCTGGCCTTCGAAAGAATTTGATTTCTGTGGGACAGCTTGATGGAGAAGGTTATTGTACAACCTTCTCGGGTCATGAATGGAAGATTACCAAAGGAGCACTCATCATTGCTCGAGGTAAGAAAAATAGTACTCTCTATGTAACCTCTAACCCAGAGAATATTATTACAGTAACAGATACAGATGAAAAATCAAACCTATGGCACCAAAGGCTTGGCCATATGAGCGAGAAAGGGATGAAGACACATATGTCAAAAGGGAAGCTGTCGGATCAGAATAATATAGATGTCGGCCTATGCGAGGATTGCATCTTTGGCAAACAGAAGAAAGTCAGTTTTGTAAAGATTGGCAAGACACCCAAGATAGGAAGGTTAGAATTGGTTCATACCGACGTATGGGAGTCATCTCTGGTTTCATCTCTTGCAGGCTCACTGTACTATGTCACCTTCATTGATGATTCTACAAGGAAGATATAAATCTATTTTCTGAAGAAGAAATCAGAAGTCTATGATACATTCAGAAAATGGAAGGCCATGGTGGAAAATAAAACTGGTCTGAAGATAAGACGGTTGAGGTCAGACAACGGAGGAGAGTATAAAGACAGTAGATTCAAAGAGTTTTGCGCAAACAACGGAATCAAGATGGAGAAAACATTTCCCATGACACCGTAGCAGAATGGCGTAGCGGAGCGCATGAACAGAACTTTGAATGAACGTGCCAGAAGCATGAGGTTACATGCCGGCTTGCCCAAGTTCTTATGGGCTGAAGCTATTAATACCGTAGCCTACCTAATCAACCGCGGACCCTCAGTTTCCTTGGATGGTGGAATACCGGAAGAAGCTTGGAGCAGAAAAGAGGTAAACCTTTCACATTTAAGAATTTTTGGTTGTATCTCTTATGTACACATAGATTCTGCTAAAAGAAGTAAACTTGATGCCAAATCTAACAAATGTGTTTTTATTGGTTATGGTGGTGATGAGTTTGGTTACCGATTTTGGGACTATGAAAATCGAAAGATCATCAGAAGCAGAGATGTCATATTCAATGAGAATGTGATGTACAAAGACAGATTAACTGCATAATCAAGAAGCTCTAGTACAAAAGCTGAAACAAAGGAATTTGCTGAATTTGAGGAGATTTCTGAAAATGATGTTCAAACTAGCCCTGAAGCAGTTCAAGAAGAACCAAGCACGCCAGAAGCGAGACGCTCCTCCAGAATTCCTAAACCAACCCAGCGTTATTCGCCTTCTTTGCACTACCTGTTGCTAACTGACAGTGATGAACCAGAATGTTATGACGAAGCAATGCAGGTGGAGGATTCAATCAAGTGGGAGTCTGCTATGCATGATGAGATTGACTCGCTCATGTCAAATCAGACGTGAGACTTAGCTGAATTACCACCAGGTAAGAAAGCTCTTCATAACAAGTGGATTTATAGGATCAAAGAAGAACATAATGGGAACAAGCGCTACAAGGCAAGGTTGGCTGTCAAAGGCTTTTAGCAAAAAGAAGGTATTGACTACAATGAAATTTTCTCTCCGGTCGTGAAATTGACTACAATCAGACCGGTGCTAAAAATTATAGTTGCTGAGAATTTACATCTTGAGCAGTTAGATGTAAAAATAGTTTTCCTTCGTGGTGTTCTGGAGGAGGAGATTTATATGAAGCAACCAGAAGGATTCATAAAGACAGGCAAAGAAAATCTAGTATGCTGTTTGAAAAAGAGCTTGTATGGATTAAAACAAGCTCCCAGGCAGTGGTACAAGAATTTTGACAGTTTTATGGGCAGCAACGGTTTCATTAGATGCTAAGCAGATCATTGTTGCTATATCAAGAGGTTTGACAATAGCTTTATTATTTTATTGTTATACGTTGATGACATGCTTGTTGCAGGTTCAGATCTGCAAGAGATTACAAATTTAAAGCAAAAAATATCAAAGCAGTTCGCAATGAAAGATCTTAGCGCTGCAAAGCAAATTCTTGGAATGAGGATCAAGAGAGACACGGAATCTAGGACTTTGATGTTATTACATGCTGAGTACATCAACAAAGTACTCTCCAGGTTCAACATGCAAGATGCTAAACCAGTGAGTACACCTTTAGGTGTTCATTTCAGACTTTCCAAAGAACAGTCGCCGAAGACAGAGGAAGAGCGTGCACACAAGGGAAGTCTGATGTATGCCATGGTTTGTACAAGATCAGATATTGCTCAAGCAGTGGGAGCTGTTAGCAGGTACATGAATGATCCGGGCAAGGTACACTGGAAAGCAGTCAAATGGATCCTTAGATATCTACGAGATACCATAGGTAAAGCACTTTGTTTCAAAGGTGGAGATACAATACTAATAGGTTATGTGGATGCTGATTTAGTAGGAAATGTTGATATTAGAAAGAGCACTACAGGGTATGTCTATACCCTAGAAAGTACTACAGTGAGTTGGGTTTCTCAACTGCAGAAGATAGTTGCTCTCTCCACAGAATATGTTGCTGTTACAGAAGCCAGCAAGGAAATGGTTTGGATTCAAAAATTCTTGGATGAGTTAGGTAAGAAACAAGAAGACAATGTCTTATATTGCAATAGTCAAAGTGCTATTCATCTAGCGAAGAATCCGTCTTTTCATTCCAGGACAAAACACATACAGATGCGGTATCATTTTATCCGATCACTTTTGGAAGATGGAGTTTTGAAACTTGAAAAGATCAGTGGAGCTCAAAATCCGGCAGACATGCTGACAAAGACGGTGACTACTGACAAACTGAAGCTATGTTCAGCTTCAGTTGGCCTGTAATAATATCAAGACCGAAGAAGAACTACTGCAGAGATCAAGATATGAAGACAGATTAAAATCAGTCTTCAAGTGGGAGATTGTAAAGTATGCCACCAAAAGAGCCTTTGGCTCTTTCAGTTTTGTCAACCTTCTCATGCCACCGAAAGAGCCTTTGGCTCTTTCTGTTTTGTCAAAGTTCTCATGCCACCGAAAAATGAGAAGAGAGAAAAAAATATAGGCGGGTCCCACCACGGGTCCCACCGCGGACCCCACCAGTGATAAAATATTAGTGCATAGTGTTTTTCCAAACACTATAAATAGACCTCAAACTCTTAAGGAAAATCTCATCCCAGAAACAACTCCTCTTATAAAAGAGTAAGAGAGAGAAAAGAAATGTTTAGAGAAAAGTCCTTGTGAGAGAAAATTGTGAGCAATTTTTAGAGTGAGATTGAATTGTAAGTTTGAGTGTGAAAAACTTTGAGAGTGGTTTGTAAAATTTCTTCCCTTTAGTGAAAGTTCTGCAGCAGCCCGTGGACGTAGGCAAATTTGTGCCGAACCACGTAAATCTTGCGTGTCCCCCTTTTTTGCGTATTTATTTCGTTTTCTTTTAAATCTGGTAATAGGGGAATCTGAGTAATTTCCCAACAATATCATCTTACTCCTTTGGTTGTTGCCCTCTGGGAACTGTAAAAGGTTCATAACCATGTCTCTTCTATTTGTTTTTAAGTTTGTATAACCTCCTGATAACATCATTAAGTTTAGTGGAAATCCGTATTAAAATTTCATACCATATGCTATCCTCACTGCTTTCTCTTTCAGGGTTTTGAAGTGAAATTGGTGCTAGATATATGAGAGATTCTTGATACAAATATCTGCAATATGACTTCTGAAACGGATTATCCTTACATTGTTTCATTACATAGGTTACTGCAGCGAATGCCACTTATTGTTTTGACGCATTAACATAACTAATTTAAAAGATAATAAAATTCATGAGTATTTCCCATGTAATTCAGTCAAGGATTTCTCCAAAACAGTGCATATGATGCGTATCACTGTGCAGTATGCTTTCCCTGTAACGTATAGTGACCTTCTGCTCCATATTCTGGTTCCTTCAACTTCTCAGAAAATATGTTCACCCTTTTAGAATTGGAGATGTTCTAATTTCCTGTCCTGATTTAGTTTTGAGGGATTAATGTTGTTAGGATGGATTTTAAGGCTTGTTAGTTAGGAATAGTGGGTGTTTGAGTTCTACAGTCATTCAGTAGTTCCGTCATTGATCTGGAACTAACGTGTATTTTAAGCAACTGAAACTTCCAAATCATCTCAGTATGCAAATAATCTTCATGCAAGTGTACAATTTACAGAGAAATGTCTTCTTATGTATTGATTTTGTGGACAACTCTAGGTCATCAGGAAAGTAACGGACAGATAAATACACATATATGACACATGCATATCAGCAATAGTGTTATCGCAAATTTGTGACTGACAAATATTTCACTCACAGTTCGTTAACAAATTGCGGTATGCCAAAGAAGGTGCCAAGGATATTGTGGACAGGACTTGTTCAGACTTGCCATGGCAAGTGAGTCTTGAAGTTGATGGCATTAATATTGAAATTCCTGAGGTAAAAGTCTCATTCTCTCCTCTCCTCCCATCCTTTCTCTGCCTGTGTAATGTGTGTCTTATCCTTCCCTCTGTTATCAGGATGCTGAAGGTGTGATTGTGCTCAACATTGCAAGCTATATGGGAGGTGTAGAACTTTGGCAAAATGATTATGAGCATGATGACGATTTTGGCCTCCAATCTATGCATGATAAAACACTCGAAGTTGTCTGCATATCAGGAACATGGCATCTTGGAAAACTTCAAGTATGTTATTTTTCACCTGCAATGCAATTCTTTTTTGACAGAAGATAATTGTGTTTTTGTTTAGTATTCTCTGAAACCTACATAGGATTAGTATCATGTTGATGACAATGATCTTCAATACTAAAGACACTGAATTTTTTTTGGTTTTGGTTCACAAGTATCCTCATGCACATGTTATTTGCATCCTAGATATGCTTAGAAACTCCCTACGGAATCATTATGGGGTAAATAAGTAAGACTGATACATGGTCTTTACAAAAGAAATGAGGAAAGAGAAAAAATTCTGTAGACTAAAGTGGGTATATTGACAATAGCATTTATTTTTGTGCCGGCAGGTAGGACTTTCACAAGCTCAGAGGCTGGCCCAAGGGAAAGTGGTGAGATTGCACATTCACACCCCATACCCTGTTCAGGTTGATGGGGAACCATGGATCCAACAACCTGGCTGTCTGGAGATCACCCATCATGGACAGGTATTTTTCTTCTCTTTATTTATTCTTAGTATTTGTGATTCTAGCATCAAAAGAGTTTGCATATGGAGTGTTACATATTGTGGGCCATGGTTATTCCCTTGGTGAAATGGTTTGCAAAGACAAATTTTAAGCTAGATAGAAGTCCATGTGACATCGGGAAAATTTGTACCATATTTCTATAGGTTATTTCTTCTGAATGTTGTTCTGGTATTTAAGCAAGAAAAGCAGTTTTTTATTTTTCCTGAAGACTTGGGAGCAAACCTAGTTAGTCAGCTGTAAATTCAGGCAAATTAGTTGGTGTATTCTCTGCAGTCTTTAGGTAATGCGGAAGGGTGGTGTAAAGATAAGAGGAATATTTCAGGTAAAAGTTTGAGGTGATCTGGGTACCTTTCTATGTGACCTAGTGTGATCATGAATCTCGTTAAATCACTTGCTTCAGCAAGCTAACATGCCCAGGATTCTATCCATCACTATATTCGTGTTGTTTGGTGTTGTTTTTAGGGTTTTCATTAGCAAGTAGGAAAAACTTGTCTGAAATTTTTTCTGGTGGTGAAGGTTAATTGTAAATACATCTCTATACAATAATTGTGTAGCCATTTATATCCTTCTAAACTATTTTATTACTACTTATGCCCCTTGAAACCCACATGCTGCTACTTTCTTCCCCTAAATTTAGAGGGTAATTGAGTCATTCTTCAGTTGAGGACTATAGGTAATTTATTGTCTCATCTGACATCTCCACAGAAGAAATAATGTTGTCTAGAGTTCAAAGGAATGTTGGTTCTAATCAATTGTTAGGGGGTAGCTACAACCTCGTAGTACAGAATCGTACCTACAGTTAACCCTTTAACTTATAACTTCATATTGTATCAATTTTTTCATGTCTCTATAAACAACAAGACATATGCAAATATACCACAAATTATATCATTCAACATTTACATCTCAATTCCGAACCTTAAACTGAAACATTATCCGAAACTGGTGCAGATGTTCATGCTAAGGAGAGCGTCTGAGCAGCCCACAGGGCACGCTGCAGCAATCATGACGGAAGTTTTATTAAATGCAGAATGCAGTGGTCTCATCAGTGCAGCTCAGAAGAAATTACTTCTCCAACAAGTGGCTCTCCGTCTCTCATAACCTCTTCTAATTCAAGTTATCCTTCTCTCATCTTGTAATATCTTACAGTCCAAAGGAAAGAAGTAGCGTATCACTAGGTGCACCACGGTTTCTACACTATTTTGGTACTATAAGACACATGTTTCCTTTGAAAATAGAGACGCATGCGCCCTGCTTGTGTTTGTCGGGTTAAAGTAGTATAGGTTTTGTTGTGCATTTGACATTACCCGAAAAAGTGTCATTTCGGCTCAAAGAAGATGTTGTAGAAACGAAAGATTTTGTTTTCTGCTCGACCTTTTTCTGTTACAGATAGTCCGATATACGTCAAATGTAATACTGTTTTTAGTGAAGCGAATGTAAGGATTCATGTAAGATTTAAGCAAAAGTTTTGAGTTTTGTAAAATAGATACGAAGAATACAGAATATTAATGGATACATTGAGGGGAAGAAAATTTGAGGAAAGATATGCCAATTTGTCAATTTGACATGCAAGGGTGTAATGGTTGTCTGATCATACATTGTTCATTGCTTTGTGATATCTGTCTCCTGCCTGTAATCTTTTTTGTAATTTCTCTTCATTATTTGGTTGCACTTTGCCTTTCCTTTTAAGCATCAATTCTAGATTATCCTTTAGTTGTTATATCAACTATCGATTACAACTCCTTACAAGTTCCAGTATAGGTAATGAAGAAGCTCATGAAACTTTCGCTCTTGATCATCAGGTCTGTCGTTGACAAAATATCGTTCTTCCTTGTTTTCTTTGTAACGCTGAAATGCGTCTCTTCCCTTTTGTTTATTTCTGGGAAAATAAAATAAAATAAAATATTAATTTGCCTTGTTTTTTGGTGGGGTCCTTCAAGCTTCCTTTGTAAAGAAAAAGCAACGGATAGGATCCTTCACGGTGAGGGGTTCCTCGGGCCGAGCAGGGAGGCAGTGTAATATCTAAACTGCACCCCTACAACCTCAAACGCATGGCTCATAACGACATGCACGATGCGAGAAGTTCTGATGCACAATGCGAGAAGTTCTGATAGGATGTGGCTCATAACGATCTGTGCAGTGCACAGTGCGGGAAGTTCTGATAGGATTCCTACTCACAGAAAAATGACAGAAAGTTACTGAAGGAAAGCTATACAAATTTCTGCAACTGCGTCAGGTTTCGGTTAACAAGAAGTCCTCAATAATATCATTCTAACGAGGTTTGGTGTAGCAAGTAATCCAATAAACTATATATCGGGTGAACATGCCTGCAGGCTACAGAATGACAAAGGGAAACCCCAGAAAGAAGCCGACTTTTCACAACCAAAATGCCTGTCATAGAACTCATCTCAAAAATCTTCAGCGAGGATCACAGAGCAGAAGAACTCTACACGTAAACACCTTCATCTCACAATAAAATGCAAATCAAAACTGAGCCATGCCAAAAGTATTACTTCTTCCCGTCTCGATCCTTTGCGCAACGAGAAACTCTGCAGCCAGGGCTCTTGGTAACTTTTGCTTCTTCAAATTAGATAAATAGAATCGGGCGAAATGATAATAATAACGGTGAAATCTTTGCAGTCAACAAGCAAAATTCGAGGACTCTCAATGCCGACAAACATCTATTGAGGTATCTAAGGGCTTGTTTGGCAACTTTCCTTTAATCAATTTGGTTATTAAATCCAATTTGGCGAAAAACTGGATCAGAACTTACACTGGTTTTGTTAGCGCAGTTATTGGCTTAAAAAAAAATTTTTTTTTGGTGACCTCTCTCGTTTAGGGGATATGTGTGTACAAGGTTTCAAGTGACAACAATTCTCGAGTAGTGCTATTCTAGGCGTTAATCCAATAAAGCATGTCTCAAGCTATGACAGGCAAACTCCATTGGATACTTTCTCATGCTAATCTTCATTAGAACCACTAATCAATTACCAAAAACAATGGCCTAATGGAGTTATAAACTAAGGAAAACCCCAGAAAGAAGCCAAGCTTTCATAATCAAAATAGCTGTAGTAGACTCATCTCACCAAAAAAAAAAGATAAAAAAAAACCAGCGAGGATCACAAAGCCAAGGATTTCTCAATATAAACACCTCCACCTCAAAGACAGAAACAATATCCGATTAGAGTCATGGCTAGACTAGTACTTATTCTGATTCTGGTCCTTGCACACGAAAACATCACTGCATTCTGTGATGAACTGAAGAGCGAGAAGCTCTGCAGGCAGTGCTCGGCGCGCAGGGGCATCGACCGCTGCCCTCCGAGCGAGGCGTACCCGCACATGACGGCGTGGGACGATTCGCTGATCGCCGGAGCTCTGATGTCGGACTTTGTTCCGATGAAAGATGGAGGTGTTTATGCGGTGCCAAATGTTAAAGGAGGAGAGTCGGAGTTAAATGCTTATTATGGCTGGGAGTCTACTTCAGGATCAGCCTCTGGTTTTCATAGGTGAGGTGCTAATATGGGGCAGGGTTAATTGCGGATAGAACCCCTGTAGTATAGTTGTTTTGAATTTGCTACCCCCATTAGTTTCATTTAAAACCCTTAGACAGAGAGAAATTTGTGTTTTGACAAATAGGCCCCTTGTTGAGGGTAAAAGAGTCGAAAAAAATTCCACTCAACCATATACTTCAGAGGGTCTATCAGTGTTTTGATTCAAATTTACAAACCTTTCAAAAACAAGTCACATTCCCAAATGGCTTAAAATCTACAACTCATCAAATTAACCATTTAAATTCTTTCACAATCTTTTATGACAGGTTCATAAATTACATGGACAAGTGCTCCAACGGTCACAGATACCTATCGGTTATCGACGAAATTGGGACCGTCGGTCTCCAACCTCTTACCTCCCTCAAAACTCCAGCCCAAGCAGAATGGAAAACCTTAAACCCTCCTCCAAACTTCAACCATAACGGCCTCAGGTTTTGGATGAACAGGTTCACCGGAAAATGCCTGACCGTGCTCGATAAAGGGAGCACGCAGAAGCGGGTTGTGGGAGTGACCGAGTGTGAGCCTAACGGGTCGAACCCGCTTCAGTTGTTTGCGTTCCGGTTTCATTATCACAAGGCATTTTGCTGTTGTGGGCTATACATCACATGACAAAATGAGAAGGATCTTGCTCTACAGGAATTTGATTGAGGTAGTTCGCTATGTTTTATAATTGTAACAAGTTTTGTTTTATTGCTCTGCAAGGATTTATTCGAATGGTTTATAGCAATGCACCGTGTGAGCCCTGCATAATCCATCAATTTATTACCCAAAGGACAACAAAATTAACTCTTCAAATTTGGATATAAAATTCTACTTCTCCAATCACAACCAATATTTTGACAGTGTTGATTCATTTCAAATTCATCTCGACGGCTAAAAAATCATAATTGAAAGATCACCCAAATGCTATCCTCTGTAATACTAGTGATGAGAAAATTGCTCTGATTAGATAAGACTTGCCACAAACATGAAGAATGATGAACCAGCAAACACTAGTACCAAAAATATCCAATCTTCAACAAACATAGGCCAACAAAAAAGAATCACTTAAGCCTTGACATTGATGTAAGTGAGATAGTACCAAGCTGCGAAGGCCAATGCAAGCACAAGCAGAGGCAGGAGAAAGCCAGAGAAGCCAGAAGAAGGTGGCTGCTTCTTCTCTAGCAAAGCTTTGTTCCTTAGAGCTCCACCACTAGGGGCTCCTGACGAAGAATCACTGCTCGCCGCGTGTCCTTCTAGGGTCCCGATGAAGTAGCCCTCCATCATGCTAGTCGCTGTGGAGCTGTGGCCTACCTCCTCAAACGACTCAGTTGCATCTCCATTGGCTTCATAATGCACCATGAATCATTTCAAAAATTAAGCATGGTTATGAAATTAACATGATTTTATGTTTGATTTTGTAGATAATACAATTTAGTGTTGTTTAATTAATTGTAATTTGGGTGAAAGGTTGGAAGCGGAGAAGCATGGACAAGATACGTGCAGAGTGACATGATGATAAACCCCATATTCTAAAAAAGTAGCAAAAAATATTGGGTTATTTGCATATATCTCCTAAATCATGGGCATTTGCAAAAAATACGCTCTAAATCTCAGTATTTACAAAACTACCCCTCAAATCATCAATTTTGGGAGAAAAAATTACCCTCAAAGTAATTAATCAACTTTGATAAGGTAATTTGTAATTGCAATGTAAAACATATCAACAAAATACTAAAAAAATTAGCAACAATTTGATGATTTGTTGATATCAGGGGTATTCTTTCACAAAGTTGATTTTTTAGGTTGGTTATTCTTTTTTTTTTGTGGGGGGGGGGGGGGGTGTATATGCAAATAACCCAAAAACATTTCATATTAGAAGTATCTGCATTTATAGTCTAACCTCAAATTTGATACAACATGATGTTAGATAATTTTTTATATTCTAGTGGGTCCCACACTATTGGAAATTTTTCTACAATGGCTGCAAATTGCCTCTTTTGGTAGCAGACAAATTTGAAAGAATTTAACAATCGTGGGGAATAATTTTTCAAAGTTAGGCTGCCTAATTTTTGAAGAAAAATTTAGGCGTGGACCCACATGCATAGTAAAATATATTATTTTATTAGTACATAGTGTTTTTTCAAACGCTATAAGTAGACCTTAAATCCTTAAGGAAAATTCATTCCAAAAACAACAATCAATATATACATATATATATTGTAGAATAGCTAGTGCTTGTAGGAATAGTGCCTAGACCGAGAAGGTCTGATAGATCGAGGAGATCTTTGTCTGATAGATCGAGGAGATCTTTGCCTTATAGATCGAGGAGATCTTGACAGTACTGGGTTGGTGCACACCAGAGTACTGGACTGCTGTTCCTGGAAGCAATTTGACCTTAGGATCCTTGTACCGGAGTAGGTCAAATAATGCTTTAAGCACAGCGTTTTACAAACGCATAGCAGCTGAGTTTGAAAATTTTAAATTATTGTACTTTAGCTTTCTTTCAGTTTTTGCTGTTATATATCTGTATTATTTCAGATTTAACCACAGCCGCCAACAATCTTAAAGCATTATTTGACCTACTCCGGTGCAAGGATCCCAAGGTCAAATTGCTTCCAGGAACAATAATCTAGTACTCTAATGTGCACCAACCCAGTACTGTCAAGATCTCCTTGATCTATAGGGTAAAGATCTCCTCGATCTATCAGGCAAAGATCTCATCGATCTATCAAGCAAAGATCTCCTTGATCTATCAGACCTTCTCGGTCTAGGCATTGTTCCTACAAGCACTAGCTATTCTACAATATATATCTGTATATATTGATTGTTGTTTTTGAAATGAATTTTTCTTAAGGATTTGAGATCTATTTATAACATTGGGAAAACACTATGTATTAATAAAATAATATATTTTACTATGCATGTAGGGCCCACACCCAAATTTTTCTTCAAAAATTAGGCATCCTAACTTTGAAAAATTATTCCCCATGATTGTTAAATTCTTTCAAATTTGTCTGCTACCGAAAGAGGTCATTTGCAGCCATTGTAGAAAAATTTCCAATAGTATGGGACCCACTGGAATATAAAAAATTATCTAACAATCCCCCACAATTTTTTTTAAACTAGTGTCGTGTAACAGTGTCATTGTTTCAATTGTTGTGCATAAGGTAGATGTCACAAGGACTTGAATCCCCCTTAGACCAACTGAATAAAAGATAGGTGCATGGTGTCACAGAGATTTGAACCAGCACATGTCTAAAAATCCAATGATCATATAATATCAAACTTATCTGTGGTAGTTTTCACTTTGAACCACACTTGCCTTTGCATTTACCTTTGCCTTGACTTTGTCTTTGCACATTTATGACCCTGTGCATGTCCTAGTTTCTGCTAGAGCTCTACGTATCTTTCCACAAGAGACCATAGGAGACGACCAAATCTCCACTCATGCATAGGTGAGTTCTTTAGGCATGTTTCCTATCAAATATCCCGCATCCGAAATGCTTTGAACTCATTAAGGCTTAAGAGCTATCCTCTCTCATTATAGGATTCTAGGTGAGTCATTTAGGTGTGTTTCCTATCTAACACCCCACATCCGAAATACTTTGGACCCATTAAGGCTTAAAAGCCATACCCTTTACATGATAGGATTCTAGGTGAAAAGATCAAAGTTTTACTCGGGTAGTTCAGCCAGGTAAGGATAGTATTAGATGTTGATCAAAGATCAATTAAGTACCTCGTTCCTTACGGAGCGCGTTACGTAACCCCCAAACATTGCCTTAGACACCGACTAATCCAAGAAAACTTAAACCCTTTCACTTGTAAATATTACTTGACTTTTGAACCATTTATCTTGTCATTCGTGACATAAGCTTTGAACTAATAACTAGATGTAAATGATAAGTATTTGTAAGACTCACCAAACTTTGCAAATCTTACATGACTTTTGAGCTAATTATTTTATTATTAGTAGCATAAGCTTTGAACTAATAACTTAATAAACATGGTAAGTATTTGTAAGATTTTATTATTAGTAGCATAAGCTTTGAACTAATAACTTAATAAACATGGTAAGTATTTGTAAGACTTATAAAACTTTGAGACCCATTTAAGCTTTGAACTAATAACTTAATAAACATGGTAAGTATTTGTAAGACTTATAAAACTTTGAGACCCATTTCAGCAGACGTCCTTTCGACTATGTCCTTTTTCAGACTCTTAGTCAAAGGATCAACCACATTCTCTGAAGATCGGACGTCAATCACAGAGATGACTCCTTGACAAATAAGCTCTCTCAAATAGCCATGCTTCAGACGAATGGTCCGCTTCTTTCCATTGAACAACGAGTTCACTGTCACAGCACTCGTCGCTTGATTATCACAATAGATAGTAATTGCGCTTTGCAATTCCGTCAATGGAAGGTCTCGGAGAATACAACTAAGCCACTGAGCTTCATCTCCTGCAACACAGAGTGCGAAGAACTCAGATTCTATCGATGACTGTGCAATCATTGTCTGCTTCTTAGACTTCCATGAGATATCAGCTCCACCCATAGTGAAGACAAATCCTCCAGCAGATCTGCACTCATCTGGTTCTGAGCACCAGCTCGCATCTGAATAGCCTTCGATTACACCCGGATATCCATCTGGTTCTGAGCACCAGCTCGCATCTGAATAGCCTTCGATTACACCCGGATATCCAGTGTAGAATAAGTCCAGACCTGTAGCACCAGCTCGCATCTGAATAGCCTTCGATTACACCCGGATATCCAGTGTAGAATAAGTCCAGACCTGTAGCTCCTTTTAAGTATCTCATCAATCTTTGGACACCATCCCAATGAAGCTTTCTAGGATTACTTATGAACCTACTAAGCATTCTTACAGCGAATGTTATATTTGACCTTGTGCAGCTCATTACGTACATAAGACTCACAATGATCTTTGAGAACCTTAGCTGCTCTACTGGTTTTTCAGTGTTTGGTCGAAGCTTCTTATTGTAATCATACGACACTGACAGTTCTGGCAGGTCGTAATAGCCATACTTTCTTAGCATGCTCTCGACATAATGAGATTGGGACAATCCAATACCCTCTTCAGAATATATGATTTTAATTCCGAGAATCACGTCCGCAGTTCCAAGGTTCTTCATGCTGAACTTTGCTGAAAGAAATTTCTTGGTAGATATTACTATCTCCAAATCACTCCTGATGATGAGCATATCATCCACATAGAGGCAGATGATCATCACCTTTTCTTCAGCGACCTTGATGTATAGGCACTTGTCAGATTCACTGACTTGACACCCATTGTTACGAACAACCCCATCGAACTTCTCATGCTAGAGTTTTGGTGCCTGCTTAAGTCCATATAGAGACTTAACAAGTTTACAAACCTTACCAGCTGGAGCATCAAGTCCTTCTAGTTTCTCCATGTAGATCTCTTCTGTGAGATCTTCATTGAGAAATGCAGTCTTTACACCCATCTGATGTATGACGAACCTTTTAATCACCGCCTATGCGATAAGCACTCTGATGGTAGTGATCCTACAAATTGGTGCATAAATATCAAAGAAATCTATACCTTCTTTCTGAGAGAATCCCTTCGTCACCAGTGTTGCTTTGTACTTTTCAATAATACCATCAGGATGGAACTTCTTCTTGAAGATCCAATTACAACTGATAGACCTTGCACCTTCAGGTACATCCACCAGCTCCCAAGTGTGATTTTGGATCAATGAATCCATCTCATCATCTATAGCTTCTTTCCACAGAAGAACGTCTGTTGACTGCATTGCTTCTTAAAAAGTCCGTGGATCTCCTTCTACATTATAGGTGATGAAGTCATCTCCAAAATCTTTCTGTCTTCTGACGCGCTTAGACGATGGTTCGATAACTCCTTCATTATTGACTGACTCCTCTTGTGCATCTGATGTACTAGCATTCTTTGCTACATCTTTGAGCAATAAGCCTTTATGTTTGATAAACTTATCTTCAAAGAATTATGCATCCCCGAGCTTCAATGATGGAGTTGGTTCCAAGGTCCAGGAACCTGCACGCATTGCTATCTCCAGCAAAGCCAAGAAATACATATTTGTTTGCCTTTGGTCCGAGCTTAGGTCTTCTGATATCCGGTATTCGAACGTATGCGAGACACCCCTACACTTTGTGACTATCCAAAGAATCTGGATATTCTAACAATAACTGATAAGGAGTACTATCAGTTTTGGAATAGGGTACTCTGTTCAGAATTCAATTTGCCATCAACAAAACCTCTCCCCAATAGCAAGTAGGTAGACCAGATGTGATCAATATCGAATTCACCATCTCGGTCAATGTGTGATTCTTTCTTTCTACAATCTTATTGGATTGCGGAGAATACGGAGTAGTAGTTTCAGCAATGATTCCATGCTTCTTGAAGTATGCTTCTGACTCCTTAGATCGACACTCTCCTCCTCTGTCGCTCCTGAGTCTTTTCACCTGCAGTCCAAGCTACTTCTCCACTCCGAAACTCGACAAATTTGCTGAATGCTTCATCTTTAGATTTTAGCAGGTAAATGTGGCAGAAGCGAGAATGGTCGTTGATGAAGGTGATGAAGTACTTCTTACCGTCACGAGTGACGAAACTTTTGAAGTCACAAGTAACTGAATGAATCAGATTCAACATGTTGGTGCTCATCGTGACACTTGAAAATGGCTTCCTTGTCAGCTTTGCTTGCGCGCAAACTTCACATTTCTCAGGTTTGTTACCCCCATATTTTGAAAGTAATCCTAACTTCTCTATGCTGGACAATTTTCTATAATTTACATGTCTCAGCCTATTGTGTCATAATACAGAGGAGTAAGCAGAAGAGGATACTTCATTTACAACGGGGTTGGATGCACTCGTACTGATTTTATACATGCCATCAGTACGATATGTATTACCAAAATACATTTTCTTGAAGGATAATACAACCTTTCCTCCTTAAAAATCCAGCCTCGTGCCTATATACAGATATAGATTGTAAAATAGCTGGTGCTTATAGGAATTTTGCCTGATAGATCGAGGAGATCTTTGCTTATAGGAATTTTGCCTGATAGATCGAGGAGATCTTTTGCCTGATAGATCGAGGAGATCTTTGCCTTATAGATCGAGGAGGAGATCTTTTGCCTGATAGATCGAGGAGATCTTTGCCTTATAGATCGAGGAGATCTTGACAGTACTGGATCGGTGCACACCAGAGTACCGAACTGTTGTTCCTGAAAGTAATTTGATCTTAGGATCCTTACACCGGAATAGGCTAAATAATACTTTAAACATAATGTTTTACAAACGCACAACAGCTGAGTTGAAAAATTTTAAATTACCGTACTTTAGTTTTCTGTTTTAGTTTTTGTTGTTATATATCTGTATTATTTCAGTTTTAACCACATGCGCCAACAATCTTAAAGCATTACAGATTTCTTTTCCAGATGGCTTGTTGGTATAAGCATCTGCTAGATGATCGGCCAAGCAGTTAAGGAGATAACTCCTACAGAAGTGATCATCTCTAGTCCAAGAGGCTTCAGCTTCAGAGTCTTCTTCAGAGATGAGTTTTTCCTCAGAAACCATATAGTAGATTTTCAGAAGTTGCATCCCGAAGATTACTTTCCGACGCCATGCGTTAAAGTTGGAACCGTCAAAGTTCTCTAACTTAAGACAGTCCACTCCAAGAGTCCTCGCAGGATCCATGGTAGTTAAGACAGTCCACTCCAAGAGTCCTCGCAGGATCCATGGTAGATCAAAATAATGCTTTAAGATTGTTGACGCCTGTGGTTAAATCTGGAATATCTCGCAGGATCCATGGTAGATCAAAATAATGCTTTAAGATTGTTGACGCCTGTGGTTAAATCTGGAATATATACAGATATATATTGTAAAATAGCTAGTGCTTGTAGGAACAGTGCCGAGACCGAGAAGATTTGATAGATTAAGGAGATCTTTGCCTGATAGATAGATGAGATCTTTGTCTTATAGATCGAAGAGATCTTGACAGTACTGGGTTGGTGCACACCAGAGTACTAGACTGCTATTCCTGAAAGCAATTTGACCTTGGGATCCTTGCACCGGAGTATGCCAAATAATACTTTAAGCACAGCGTTTTACAAACGCACAACAGCTAAGTTTAAAAATTTTAAATTACTGTACTTCAGCTTTCTTTCAGTTTTTGCTGTTATATATCTGTATTATTTCAGATTTAACCACATGCGCCAGCACATAAGTCCTCTAGCCAGTATCACTAATAAGCACTTTCAGCCTATACAGTAACTTTTGAATTAAGCTTCAAAAGCTTTAGGTTGTAAAGTTGATGATGCCCGTTTGTTTCCATGCATTTAGTGAGTTTTGCATTGAAAAACGGGACCCACAAGGCTAAAATACAAGATTTTTACTAGATCTCATGTTTGTTTGTTATTTTTCATGCCATGAATTTAGGGTTGTCAAGTAGAATAAATGTATTAAATATGATTCCCTAAAATTGTAATGATTTCATCCAAATTTGTGATATTAGTCACATATTCTCAACAGAGCACGTGCAACCGAACAACATTTGGTTTGTTTTAATTGTTTATGCAAATACTTTTAATTGTTTTAATTGTTTATGCAAACAAACAAGATTTTGAATATGGATTTTTTTAATCCATAGCGTGCATTAAATTACGTACAATCCACAAACCAAACAACCCCTAAATTGTTTGGAACCTTTATAGACCTTTGGAGAATTTGCATCAAATTGACAAACAGCTGCAATAGAGCAACTTTGAAGCCATTTTTATCTTGTTACTGGATCCAAAAGATCTACATTTAATTTAAAATTTTAGCCAGAATGTCCCGGGATCAGGGGGACCTTCATATGAGAGGAAGTTTGAGGGTATAAAACATCAAATTGACAAACAATAGAGCGATTTTGAAGCCATTTTTATCCTGTTACTATATCCAAAAGATCTACATTTATTTAAAACTGTAGCAATAATATCCCAGGATCAGGGGAACCTTCATATGAGAGGAAATTGAGGGTATAAAACCATTTCCGTAGGGAAAAAATAACATAACAAGGACATTTTTTTGTTGTTGTTGCACAAATGCCCTCAAAGCAAAAAAAAAAAAAAACCTATAATTTGAATGAGATCTAATGAAAGAATGATGAACAGAACAGCGTACATAGTACCTGCTGCATGCAGGAGAACATCCTCTCCACCTGGATGGTCCTCCAGAAAAGTAGTTACATCATAAACCTACACCCAAAAAAAAAACAAATATATACATATGTAAATTACATCATAATTCAACAAAAACAAAGTTACCCATTACTTAATAGTAATAATAATAATAATTAAAAAAAAATTTAAAGACCTTTCCATGGATGACCAGCCAACAATCCTTCTTGGTTGTATGAAGGGAGATCTCGGATTGAGAGTATCTCTGTGACACTAACATCCTCTCTCTCTCTCTCTCTCTCTCTCTCTCTCTCTCTCTCTTCACCAAGAAAAATGAAGACAAATATATAGAAGAGAGGAGCTAGAGAAATTAAGAGAGAGAATTTAGAGAAGAAGCAAGTCACACACAAAGGAGAGATGAGTGCTGTTATAGGTCAAAATAGAGTGTAAATTAAGCAAACAAAGATGGTCGTCTGCATCTTCATCAATGTGTGCTGAGCTGATGAGTGGATGTATGAGACCTATATACGTACACATGGCAGTCAAGTGAAGGTCTTTGTGGGTGTTGCGTGGCTGGTCTTGATCAAACAAGTAGCGTGACGCTGACCCTGGACCGGGCGGAGCAAGGGGGTCGGTGGAAGTATTTTTTTCGTTTTTTAGTGACACGTGGCGTGATTATAGTTGCAAGCTTTGGTGTTCGGTGTTTTGAGTTAAGAGTTGATTGGCACCCTTTGCGGGGGGTCCGGATCAGAGATGGGAGTCTGGGAGTGGACGGCTGAGATTCTGTCGACAGCAGGGGAGTCATTTAATCGGACCGGTAGTGTCATCCACGTGAGGCATTAATTATTGCGAAGGATCCGCACGTGGGAAGTAAAATAATATCTGGTGGAAATTCCTAGAGCAAAAGGTGGGCATCGAGTAAGGCCCGTTGCCCGACCCGTTTCTGTTGGCATGTTGATGGCCTCTTTTACGGATATGGTATAGGCCCGGATCCAAGTTGGTGATGGGCCGGCGTATCTAATTTTCGGCAAAGTTTTGAGTACAAGTCCAGGAACAATGGTAATTATTCTTGGACTCGATGAGTGAATTGGTTTTCATGGAATTAGTTATAAATTAAAGTTACTTTGTTTCCTCTTTATAATTAAGAACAAATATGTAGTTTTTTTTTTAATTTGATTCAACTTTGCGCTGGTCTAGTTATGGTTCAAAATCAGACTATGCTAAAACTGAATTAGGTTCAAATAGTAAATTTGTCAGAAAAAACAATTAATTTAGATCAAAATTGATCCCACCAAAATTTTCTACATCATTCTCCTGGAATTTATTTTAATACATTCATTGCATGCACTAAAAAAAAAAATACCAATATCATTTAAATCTATAAAAGGATTATTATTTTTATTGATATTACATTACATTAAAGTTAAAACTTCTTGTATTGTGATAATTCAAATATAAAATAAGTGTGTAATTTAATGCATGGATTAACAAATAGATTACTTACTTCTAACCTATATAATTTACGGTTTTTCTGTAGAGTACTCATGAGCATTCTATAAGAGAGGAGATAGATAAAGAAAAATAAATAGCTCATGGCCCCTTCTAATTTGCATTAATTTTTGTGTATAATTCATTTCTCTCATCTCTTCCTTAGGATCCGTTTGATTGGGTGAAATGAAGGGGGAAAGCCACTGTAGAGCTGC